AATTTTTTTTATTATAATTTAACTTAAGTTTAATAACAAAATAATTTATTTTTTGTTTAATAATATAACATTTTATAAATATAATAATTAAGTATTCTGTTAGAACTCAATGATTATCCTAATTAGATTTTAGATTTTTTATATTTAAAATGAGATGTTTATCTTGTATTTGATTATGTTTATCTGCAGTTAGTTGCACGAATTTAGATATGAACCTTTAATAAGTTGTACTTACGCACAATATACTTGTAATCTTGAGTTTTAAATAATATGCATTATAAACAGTACTTTACACATAAAAAATGGTTTTTAAGAATTTTTATCAAATACTTTATAATATAGTATAGATATAAAATAAATTTAACTAATTAATATACATTATATATGATTATAATTAAATGATAAATTAATAAATAGATGTAAAATATATAAAAGTACCATAACTTATCACAAATCAATTGAAGATGATAAATACTATTCTAGCTAGTGAATAGTGAAAATTTGAATATTATGAAAAATCTTATTTATCTGGGTTCGAGAATCCAGACGTTATCAAAACCCTCGTTATAATAAATGTTCACCTACGATGACTGAACAGGCTATTCATGGTCATTCAAAGGATTAGTCGGTACGCATAAACCGACCCAAAAACCATGGTTAAAAAAAGAACAAAATTGAATATTATGGAAAATCTCATCTATATCGGGTTCGAGAATCCAGACGTTACCAAAACCTTTGTTGCAACTGACGTTCACCTCTGATGATTGATCTAGGCTATTCGTGACAGTTCAAATGATTAGTCGATACGCATAAACTGACCCAAAAATCCATGGTTAAAAAAAAACATAATTCAATATTAAAATTTAACACAATATACTATCTTTAGTATTGTTGGTTAAAACTGTTTACCTTGACCTTTGACTCCAAATGTCAAAAGTAACAGGATGTCTCAGGTTCAAATCCAAGAATGAATAAAAATCCTCTTGTGGCTACGAATGTTCAAATACGGTGACTCCGGGCTATCTGCAAAGCAGGTGGTCGTTATGGAATTAGTCGACTGGCATAACATGTTGCGGTATATAACCTTAATTTACAGTCTCCATAAAGTGCCAAAAGAGGATTAGTTGACCATTTCAAGTATTTATACGTACATTTCAAATGAGGTTGAAGGTCAAGACAAGACCGTAAATACCGTGAGAGAGAAAACGAGTACTTCTTGGTTTGCTCATTAATGGATTCAAACTTCAAGGGTTTCACATAAATTTGACTGTTTCTGTCTTCTTCTTTCTATATATAAACAACACCACCAATCGACTTCTATCCAATAAATCTTCATTTCATACACTAATTAACACTACCTGCTCCATCAAGACTTGAAGATTGCAAGTTGAAATCATTAGACACCATGGACGCCATGGCCGCCATTAATCAAGCTTCAAGCTTTTTATGTTCTTCTTCTTCATCATCTTCTTCTTCTTCTTCCCATAGAGAAGTAGCAAGAGCTTCTCTTCAGTTCCCAAAGATTCAAACAAACGGTCTAACCACCCTCATCCCAAAGATCCAATCAAACATGGGTTTGGTTGAAGAAATGGATCAGTTTTCAAGAATCACAGTACCCAAAAACCCTAGCAAAAACCCTGAAGTGATGGAGAAGCTTTATGTGGTATTGGAGGCTGTTTCTGATAGAGTGGAGATGCATAAGAACATTGGAGAGCAAAGGAATAACTGGAACAGCCTGTTGTTGACATCTATCAACACCATTACTCTTTCTGCTGCAACCATGGCTGCCATTTCTGCTGCCATAACCACTGTGCCTGGTGCACCTTTGGAAGCACTTAATCTTTCATCTACGTTTATGTATCTGGCAGCCACTGGTATGCTGGTTATCATGAACAAGATCCAACCTTCCCAACTCGCTGAAGAACAACGAAACGCTGCAAGATTGTTCAAGCAACTCGAAAGCGAAATCAAGACGAAAGTTGCCATAGGCAATCCTACTCTCAGTGATGTGAATGAAGCTATGAAGAAAGTTTTGGCTATTGATAGAGCCTACCCTCTTCCTTTGCTCGGTGTCATGCTCGAAAAGTTTCCGGCTAAGGTGGAGCCAGCGGTTTGGTGGCCCGAAAAACGGAGGACATCAGCGAACGAAGGGCAACACGACAGAAACGGTTGGAGTTTGGAGTTGGAAGAAGAGATGAGAGAGATCATTAGGGTTTTAGAGGTAAAAGATAAAGCCGATTACTTGAGGTTAGGTGAAAAGGCGTTGAAGCTCAACAAAGGGTTAGCCATGGCTGGTCCTGTACTAACCGGTTTAGGAGCCATTGGTTCAGCCTTTCTTGGATCCTCTCCTTGGGCCATGGTTCTTGGAACCATGGCAGGTGCAATGGCAAGTGTTGTGAATACTGTGCAACATGGTGGGCAAGTAGGGATGGTGTTTGAAATGTATAGAAGCAATGCAGGTTTCTTTAAGTTGATGATGGAATCCATAGAATCAAACCTAAATGAAAGAGATGTGGAGAGCAGAGAGAATGGTGAAGTTTTTGAGATGAAGGTGGCATTGCAGCTTGGAAGAAGCTTATCTGAGCTTAGAGAAGTTGCAGCTTCATCTTCTTCAAGAGATGGAAGAGCCATTGAAGAGTTTGGAAGCAAGCTTTTCTAAGTAATTAATAAATTGTTTATGATAATTAATAGTTTAGACCATAGTGATCAGTGATCTCTAGATTAACTTTTTCATTATGTATATAAAAGTAATTAAGCAGCTATTTGGTTCAGGTCGGAGAATGAAACAGAGAATAAAAATGAAAATGACAGGGAATCGAACCTGTAACGAAATATGGGCTTCTGGAGAATGAACACATCATCTATACTACCTTATAAATCAAATTTATCAAAAGTGTTAAAAACAATTTTTAATGTATAAAGTACTAAACATTTATGCACAAAGTATTAAAAGTGTTAAAAACAACTCATAATGCATTAAATATTATTACTTTATACATTCAGTCTTAAGATATCATAATCTATAATTAAAATGACATATAATACAAGTTACCAATACGCATTATTACTTTTTTTTCATGTTCCTAAGATATTTTTGACACATTTCACTCATGTCTTCACCCTCTCATACCTCTATGTCTTCTCCTCATCCCCCAAGGTGAGATTCAAACCGATATTCGTCATGAATTATTAAAAGTTTTTTCATGTATCTCATATTCAATTGCTCTAGAACTCTCGGTCTCGCTCTCGATCTCTTGATTCTTTGGTCTTGGTGTAAATCGAACACATTTGTGGAGTCATTTAAATATGTTGGATTTTAAATTGTCATACAATTTTTTTTTCATAGACTGTAATTGAAACCATAACTCTTATTTATTCAAATTATATTAATATGTAAAGACCAAATGTAATTTATATCATCGTTAAATCTTCTCTAATAAAACCAGCATGAAACTTCAAAATCGTTAAAATTCACGGCTCCCGCCGCATTGCGCGGGTACACAACTAGTATTACATAAAACCAAACAGTTCTTTTATTATCATTTCCATTGATTATTGATTAACACATCTAATCAAACACCCCCGAGGTTTTACATTAATCGAAACAAGATTCATTATTTTCTTCCTAGAATTGTTCGATATCAAATTACTAAATTATCCCTGACAAATTAATTAAATAAAAACTATTAAATTATTAACAAATATTTTAAAATACTACATTATAATAATGTAATAACACTCGTGTTTATTTGATTTTTTTAATTATACATATAGTTTATTTATTAAATTTGACATAAAAACTGGTATAAAAGATTCGTATTCAGACAGTCCAAATTACAATAGACAAAGGCATCTATTGACCATCTAAATCTTGTTTTTGTTTTTTTAATTAGTTTTTTTTCCTGTAATTAGTTGTTTAATAACAAAAAAAAGACAAAATATATAATAAAATGCTCATAATTTGATGATTTTATGGAATAAAATCCATGAAAAGGCAACAAACTTTTGATTATAGTTGTTAATTAATAACGTTTTACGTCTGTCTCGCGTCATTTTTCAACCATAAATCATCATCCTACAACTGTAAAACCATAACAAAGACCGGTCGTTCGGTCCCTAGAAAATACATCTACCGGGACTATATATTTTGTCTGTAGAGTTGATAACACAAAGCTAATTATAAAACGTGCATCTTCATTTAATATTTAATCGTTATAAAAAATGTGTGAGCGAAACCTTTTTTCTTTCTTTCTTTAATTATGATTGCAAACGTGTTATCTTTACTGATTGGTTTTTTGTCGTAAATATTAACACTGTCTTATGCAATTATCGATTTATCCGTACTATACACTTACTCCACGCATTATTATATTATAACAAATTTGGTTTTACAGGACTACAAATATAATGTTCTAATAAGCTGTTTTATAGGATCAAACAATCGTGCATCACATATAAATTGTTACAATATGATGTCATATATGCACATCTTTTTATAGAAAACTTGTGTTTTTATAAAATATTTTTGAAATAATATTATATAAAGTGACTAATATGAAGAAAAAAATCAAAAATAACATAAAAAGCTTGTTAGACAGTCTAAAAATATTATATCCACTTATTGTAACATTTAAATCATAATTATTTTGTCCTATAAACATAAAGCATTGTATTAAGAGTACATTCAGAATTTTAAATATAAATATATACATATGAGGTAGGTTCATACGAGAATAATATTTATTTAAGAAAATGATCAAATTACGAACAAAATCATATGTGATTCACATTAACGGTCAAAAAGTGTATGGATATCCTACGGCCGTGTGACAAGATCGCGTGATTACATGTGATTTTGTATGTGATGTTGGTATAAAATCACATGTGATTCAGACATTTTGTTATTTCTTAAATATGTAGCATTCTCATATGAACATGAGTCTACATACACACAGATATCTATACTATATTATAAAGCATTTGATAAAAACTCGTAAAAACTATTTTTTATGCATGAAGTATTGTACATTGATGCATATTACTTAAAATTTCATATTACAAATAAATTATGCACA